GACCCTGGTTACGTAGTGTTTTGAAATGAGGTTTGTATTATGACAGATGCGCTACTTTTTCTTGTATGAAAAAGTTATGAGTAAAATATTTAGATGGGCCTATCCTTCCTTTTGAAATCATTGCATGCAATCCACATTTATCCCTAAGATGCTAATCTTAGGGTAAAATGTGAAATCCAAGAAAGACGACTGTACTTTCTAGAAAAAGAAGGAAGAAAAAATAACATTGTCATTTTCGGAATAAAAGAAATGGAAAGTCTCATAGTGAACTTTATCAAAGAACATTTCTCTCAAAAACTGGATCGCGGAAATATTCAAGAAGTTAGAAGACCAATAATTGTCACTTTTTGTACACTCGGCACAAAAATTAAAAAATAAAAATTGTAAAAATAAAATACGACAAGCCTGTCATAAGTGTAAAAACAAAACACCTGGAAATAACAAAAGAACGCTTTCAACTTCGCCTGAAAATGAAACCACAAAAGAAGTCGAAACAAATACACAGGCTAACGAGAAAAATAAATCGCAAACACAATTAAGAAGAACTTCAAGGTTATCAGAAGGTATTTTGAAACCGGGCATGCTGAATTACCTTAATAATAACAATAATTTGCTGGCTTGGTGTCGGCAGGGTCTTCACGGGACCAGCAATCGGCACCTGCCACTGGTGGAGTACGCCGCATGCGATGGACAATCGAAATGAATACAAACGCACTGCGGACGTATTTTAGGGCGAAAGGGGGAGAAGTTGGAGGTTTGGCATATCGGACTAGGATGCATGGTCTTTTTGCTGAGCTGGAGCCATCTATAACCGTCACAGAGCAAAACCTGGCAGACCGAGTTCGGTATATCTTGCGCTCAAATATATTTGATGTCGCCGAACTCGAACGGCTATGAAGTGAGGCTGTTCCTTCATCGGGTGAAAATGCTACGGCTGAGGATGCGGCACCACAACTTGCAGAGCAAACGGCTGGACGCGCTACTGGACAAAGTAGTGCTATCCCAGCCTGGAGAATAAGAATTGAAGAACGTATCGCAAAGGCTAGGGCCCTCATCGGCAGACTGATATGCTTCAGGTCAGGCAATACCGGGCCAAGGATTGTGCGCACTGTCAGGATGGCGTTTGCTGGGACAAATGTTAGTTTGTCCCAGCCGGATATAATGCAAAAACTGAAGGAGCGCATAGACGACCTGAAGCAGAGAATCGCTGCTTAGGGAAAGCGGATTCGGCGATATACCGAGAGGTCGACACGGTTCAACCAGAATTGTCTCTTCCACAGTGATCTGAAGAGGCTCTATAAATCATTGGAGCGACCAATGGTAAGTGGAACGGGCCCAGCACCGAATCAGGCCGACATGGTCGCATTCTGGCGCAGCCTGTGGTCAGAGCCCGTAAACGACAGTGAGGGCCCTTGGGCGGCAGTTGTAGAGAGTCAGTGTGCGTGTATTACGCCCATGGACCCCGTCATCATAACGCCGGATGACGTAGCTGAGGCGGTCCGTAGGGCCCCGAACTGGAAAATTCCGGGGCTTAACGGGCTGCATCACTACTAGCTGAAGGGGTTCATGGTGTGTCACGCTGTGCTCGCCCGACAGTTTCAAGAGGCTCTCAACCAGAAGAAGCTCCCAAGCCTTTTTACTACTGGGATCACTCTCTTGGTTCCTAAAGACCAGGGTACCACAGACCCGAGCAAATACCGCCCCATCACGTATCTACCGACCATATACAAGACACTAACGTCCATTTTGAGCGCGAGAATCACTCGTCACCTGGACTCAAATCAGGTGATGTCGCACGCTCAAAATGGATGTCGTGCGGCGGTCGTGGAACCAAGGAACCACTCCTTATTGACGCGGTCATTGGCAAAGTGGTGAAACGCAACCGTCGGAACTTCTCCGCCACCTGAAGGGCTATTCACAATCGTCTCGGAAAGGGAAATCGACTCGGATTCGATAACTTTTTTTTGAAACGCTGTTCACATTCGCCGTTCGGATAAATTTGACATTCGTTTTCGGGAATTGTAACAGTTCGCATCGGAAACTATACGAGACCCCTGAGACTGGCGGAAACTTAAATATTGATAATTATAAGAGATAAATAAGCTTTTCTAAGTATAAGGTACGTAACATAAATTAATTGCAATTATGTATAAAACATATTTTCATATAATTACTTCAATATTTGCACTTAATTTGCAAAACTGTATTTTCGTATTAAAAAAGGATTTTTATAAGTTTTCTATCTCTAATTTTACAGATATAAGCAATGTCAGGCATAGTAGCATTAATTCTTCATAGGAGAGTCCGCACGAAAAAGAGAAGCTACGGATGCAAACAATGATCCGAAACAAACGGTTTCGCGATTTGTCGAATCCGTATGAGGACCCAAACTTCCATTCGACTTACCGACTCACCCCGGACTTGGCTATTGTGAACGACCTGTTTGGCAACAACATCAATATTCAAGCTCACTTCCTGTAGAACTAAAGGTAAATAGGTATCTAGATAGTAAACTCAGTACCGTACCTAAGTTGTTACTTATTTTAATTCTCTTTTGGTAATTAGTTCCTCTGCGCGTTACATTTTTTCGCACAAGGCTCCTATCAAAAAATTTTAACAAAGGATGTGGACTTCAAAGCCTACTTCCAGCAGAGCCGTTAGAGAGGCAGTAGCCGCACTAAATCAACCTCAAATTATCAAAAAATGGATTAATTTTCCAAATCGTCCTCAAATGGAAGCAACTGTTTTAAGGTAAATCTCAAGATTTAAATGACATAGGTACCTATAGCATACTTATTCATATGAATCTGTAGGTAGGTATTATCAATATGTATTAATAAGAAACTAAAATACAAGAATTATGGTGATCTTTCCCGATGCAAATTTAAATTAGGTACCTTTATTTTCATTGCATTGGGTGACAAACGAGCACAGTCTATGTAATGGTAGTGGATTCCGTGGCTCATAGACATCCACATTTGTTATCAATTAAGTATCAAATTGTAAATGTGTTGTCACCCATGAGGACTAAGTTGGAATGCTTTAATTCCAGTAAAAAGGGTCTCCAATTTTCTACACTCTCCATACAAAACACAACAGCATTATGCTGGTATTCTGAGTGTGGTCCTGCCTTGGTCGAGGCGACCCATTCATGCTACAACTATAATGTAGGTGCAGCGTGGCTACCACATAACAAACCTGCTTTGTATACTGTTACGAGCTTGAGGTTCGTGACAATAAAAATTGCTGATAGAATTACCTAAATTAACACTTTAATTTTCTTTACACAAATTAAAACTTAAAACACTAATAATTAAGCACACTAATTCACTTTATTTCGCTTGTCTCGCCAAATTCAATACTTCCCCGATCGCATCTTGCAGCGCCTATAAATACAAATTACCACCGAAACATCCTGAATATTCAAGTAAACACGCGCAAGGGGCCGAGAGTTCGTGTGGCAACTTCTAGAAGCTTAGTTCTTCGTTCCGAGACTAGATGGCGCTGTCGGTTGAAAGATTAGTGATGTCGTGAGATATAAGGCTAGACCCCTTATGAGAAGGTTGTGCACATAAGTAGCAGTGGGACATAAATATGCTTACAAGCAAGTTTGTCAGAAAACTTCATAAATAATAAATACTTTCATATTACATAAATGGTTTATTATTTTAACATGTCAACATTTAAATAAGAAATTACACAATTATTAAAATTTTAAACACTATAACTATAATCATTTAAAAAAAAATAAAAAATAACAATTATCTTCTAAGTAAGAACCTAATTACCTTGACACACAGTTTTATCCTTTGAATGTCTAAGAAGCTAGTATCACAATCAGTCTTATTTTCGTTTGCAGAAATTACCAAAAATTCGGAATTCCTGGAGTATTAGGCTATATTGATGGCACTCATATAAAACTTAAGAAGCCAACACAACATGAAGAACTTTATGTAAATAGAAAGGGTGAACACACATACAAATGGTAAATAAATTAGATTTCACTACATGCTACACTCTGTTTTATTGATCCCTCCGAACTGTGTAATTTATATTTAAGTACAAATACCTTACAAAAATTCAGGGCATTGGTTTTGAATTTTAATAATAAGATCATTATTACTTCTGTATATTAATTATGCAAGTGACCTAAACTGTGTACTAATTGAATTCGCATTTCATAGGTTTGTGACAGTTCCTTAAAAATATTAAATGTGTGTGCACGATATCCTCGTGCAACACACAATTCCACTACGAAAGGTGATGATGAACCTTAATGGTGAAGGCAATACTTGCTGGCTTCTAGGTATTGCAATAAACAATATTTACGATAAATCTGAAACAAATAATCTCAATTAAAACAGTATTTGTAATGTTCTAGTTATTTATTTGAATTACAGGTGATTCCGGATATCCCTTGGAGCCATGGCTCCTCACACCGATCCTTAATGCTGAGGAAAACACACCTCAAAGTCGATATACCAACACCCATATAATGTCAAGGAACAGTATTGAGAGGTGTTTCGGTGTTCTTAAGTCAAGGTTTCGATGCTTACTAAGAAAAATGGAGTATGAACCAACAAAGTAGGCTGCGTTGTAAATGCATGTGCAGTTTTACACAACGTGTGCATAACAGCAGGACTTAGTTTTCCCGACATAGTTGATGAAGAGGCTTTAGCACCAGACGTGAGTACAGCAAGTCATTATAGAGAGATACAAATATATGAGCGGGGCCTTCAAGTGCGACAACAATTAATAGAAAGATTATTTTATTAATAACAATTTGTAAATAATTATTTCTTTATTATCTTTTATTCTTTTAATTAAACTTAAATAATTCATACTAATCAAAATTATTTAACTATATTGACCTACCTTAGATTAAATTTTATCATCACTTTTATTGGCCATGGATTTGAGGGCTGCAGCAAAATTATTTATGGCTGCAGCCAAATTATTCATAGACTGTGAGAGCGTATTCATGGCTGCAGCCTGAACGTCTAGACACTCTTCAAGTCACCAACTCCATAAAAATAACTAAACAATAAAAAGTAATCAATATAATTACGTTTTTTCATTGTTTTTCTATCATCCACAACCGGATTGTGGACATCTTTGTCACCACCAGCTTCTACTTCTGCATCACTTTCAGGAATCTGTAAAGACAAAACGAAATGAAACTGTATAATATCCTTCCTACTTCTCTCACTTATAAATGGGGTTAGGGATCTCTATCAGTTGTATATAGGTACACAAGAATATGCAGATGCACGTTTTTTTAGAATGAGTGTATTGTATTGTGGACTCATACTGCTAGACATTTAATAGTAAATTTTGAATAACTATGAATATACATTTAGCAACTTATTAATTTTTGTAATAAATATTTGTAGTTTGGTACAAAATAAACACTACAAAGCTCCATTTTTTTATGAAATCGAAAGGAAGCATGGAGAGTATTGAATCCTAAAAATTTAATATGAATTTGTAGTACCTCTAAGGTATCAGCAACGACAAGGCCCTCTGCTGCTTCGTGGCCAATAAATGCCATTAGAGATTCCTCCATGGCAGATAAGATTGCAGGTTCAGGCCCTCCACCAGTCTGCTGCTGAGCACAGCGGATTTTGGCAGCTTTAGATTTAACATCGCTTCGTCATTCTTGCCAACACTATCAAATATTTGCATTAATAAAGGTTAGAATGCACATTTGTAAGCATACATAACAAAGTTGGCTTTAAGCGATCCACTAGACTAGCACTACAATATGTATGAACTTGTAACATCTAAACACAGACATACCTTTATCCATTTCTCGGAGCTTTTTGTTGCTCCTGTGACACAGCTGTTCAAAATTGTGGCTAGTTCAGTCTGCAGTTTTAATTTCCTACGGGCAGCATCTGCGCCTGCAACCCGATTTCTGGCAAAATCTGGATGCGCCACCATGAATTCAAAAATTTTTCACGCTACTTGTAGGAAACACGTGATCTTTTTTGCTGAAATACAAAAAATATATCTAAAATTAGTTTCAATGAAGACTAGACTAAATAGGTAAAACTTTTAATGTACATTTGCAATTTTTTTTTTTAATTTCTTTGCTCACAGAAGTATGAATATATTTTTAATAATCAACAAACTTATTAGGTACTAAAATCAAAGAAATCAAGATGTAAAGCGCCCTCCACATTCACGCCGTGAACACCCGTGAAAGGCGTGAACCGCGAACGGGGCTTTCGCGCCCGTTCACGGGCTTCGCGCCTTTCCCTCGCAGCGTCGGTATTTTGTGAGCGCTTCAAAGGGTTTACGACGCGTGAAGCTCCCGTGAACGCAAGCGCATCCACACTCGCGCGTGAAAACAGTAACGCGCGAGATTCGTTGCTGTGAGGTTGTGCTTATTTGTATTTTTTACGGAGGACGGTGCGTCAAAATGAGCGTCAGTTGGATGAACGAGCAGGAACTCTTGTTGATCGAGTATTATCATGCCGAACCCATTTTATGGGATGCTAAACATAAAGATCATAAAAATAAAATGAAAGTACATGTACTTTATATCATAAAATGGGTTCGGCATGATAATACTCGATCAACAAGAGTTCCTGCTCGTTCGTCGTGCTCGAGCGTCATGACGCTTGGATACGAATGAAGAAAATAATGAATATTACTTTATTTTATTTTATAGGATAGGGTGACAAACGAGCACAAAGTCCACCTGATGGTATGTGGATGCTGTATTCTATAGATATCTACATCTATCCTCGATTACGAATCAAAATGCAGATGCGTTGTTACCCGTGAGGACTAGAATGGAATGCCTCGTTTCCAGTAAAAAGGTCTCCGGTTCTCTACACTCACCGTACGAAACACAGCAGCATTAAGCTACTATTTTACGTGTGGTATTCTGTGAGAGCGTGGTCCTTCCTCGGTCGAGCCGACCGATTCGTGCTACAACTATACTACTAATATAACTGCAGCATGGCTTTACCACAAAAAGCGTTGAAGTGACTGATTGAAAAAAAAAGAACGTCTAATGTCCAGTTATAGAAATTATAAAAAAAAGGTGAAGGATTCTAAAAGGAAGTCTGTAGCAAGCAGCGACAAAATTTACAAGCCCATTTGAATTGCCTTTGACGTGATCGATGCTTTTCTAGAAGAAAGGATAGTTGTAAAAAAAAATACTACAAATACGGTTTTTTTATCTTTTATATACTACACGTAATTGTCGTGAGCCAAAGCGCATAGCGTCACGGCGATAGCAGTGCATATTTCAGCATCCATTCTCGACGAGCGCGCGAACTAAACTGTGAACGATTGCGAATGTGGAGGGATGTGTTTTTCGCGACGAGTTCGCGGCAAAATTACGGCGTGAATTCACGCCGTGAATCACACAGGAGTCTGGAGCCCGTATAACAATTAAGGGTATGTTCCGAAATATAACGCAGTGTACTGTCCAATGCAAATGACGTCATGAATCGACGCTATACTAGTGATTCGTTCCAAAACATTGGACAGTATATGACGTCATACTTTTGCGCCATTTGGAAAAGTGTTGGCGATTATTTTGTCATTTTGTGCTCCAAAAATCATTATATCCACCTAATGGATATACCATCAATTATTCTATAATTTTTTGTATTTGAATAAATAGAAACAAATTCTGGCATGCTTCATTCGGCAAACACACAATTAAAAATTGTTTTATTATGGCCGGATATCCGACACAATATGGCGGCGGCACGCTAGTACAATGGGTGCGTTAGGCAGAAAAAAGCGCTAGCAAGCGATTGTAAGCAAAATGGCGAAATTAAACAGTTTTCTGGAAGGAAGTCTGCAGTTTGCGATCATATCCTAGACGGCTCCAACCATTACATCAGATTTGATAGACCACAAATCCTCGCGAAAGAACACCGATTCCTACCAAGGATGATACGTGAGGCTATTGAAATTAAAAAACATCCTAATTTCAATAGAGAAGGAGGCTGGGTACTACCACCTGCTTGGGATCCTATAATCGATAAAATTAAAACTAAACCCAAGCATACCACTGCAAGACCTCAGGACATAGTCAGTTCATTTTGCATAGATCGGACCATAAACAATAATTAAAAAAAAATAGCTGAAGGTACTCCGGGTTTAACAATGACATCGGGACGTCAGTCATCTCAGTCCCTCGCGACCATGGGTGCTGGAAAGCGCCCGAAACGTCGGGAATTAAAAATAATAGTAAAATAAACGCGATAAAATCCGTAAAAGTAGTTTTAATCATTGAATAGCTCCACTCACCACAGGAATTTCCATTATTATTTTATTTAAATCACACAAAAAAGATTTAAATTTAGTGACAACCACAAACTAATAAAAGCAATATAAATAATTTTTTTGCCGTAAAGTATTTGTATTTTATATTTCATTTCATTTGATGGTTTCACTGCAGTCGCGCGTGTTCTGCACGCATGTTTTTTTTTTAAATCGGTACTTAAGACCGATTTACACTTCGATAAGTACAGTAGCGAGTTTAGTTACAGGGCAGTTGGCAGTAAACGGTTAAGTGGGCAGTAGTGTTCAAACAATGTCTTCGTGGTGAGTTTAGTTAGGGACATTAGTTCATAGAGTTCGTCGGAGTATGACGTTTCAAGACTACTGAATTTTTCTGGTTTTCGTTCAAGAATTAAATGATTCAGTCAGAGAATCATTAATGATTGTTTTTAAAGACGTTTTTAAGAATTTTCATGAGTGCAGCATCTCGAGCAGATTTAATTTTACAATTTGAACTTCTACTATTACATAAAAATTCGTTATATTAATACTCCTGTACTTTATACGTGATATCTTCCGTCCATTTCATTATTAAAACTCAATATAAAACGTATAAATATTCAATAAACAGTATCGTACAAACTTTGTGGCGAGTTTAATTATAAAAGTACAATTGTAAGTTTTGGCGCGCAAACGTTGCGTCCTGTCAACCTATACACTGAACTCAGATGAAGTAAAAAAAGGTAGATATCGCACCTAGAACAAGAAACTGTAACCAATTTTATAACTTTGTGTGAGTCAGAGAAGTGTTGCCACATTTTTTTAAGTCCCTGAAAATCGAGATACAATACTACAACTATAAGAGTAATGTGCGATGCGAATGCGAAAGTATATCTGTCTGATTTTATAAATTTCAACAATTTGACAATTCAAATAAAGATGAAGCACGTAGGAGGCGTCTGTAGATCATTTAAAAATCTTCTTGATAGATTGTCCAGTGAGCATGTAAGCATCGATAAAATATACAACATATGTAAAGTAAAACATGTTTATTGTAAATAATAACTTAATACTAAAAAACTAGTTGGAATAAAAAAAATCCATGGAACTAAAAATATACTTTTCTAAATGAAAAAAAGTATATTTTAGTAAATGCAAAATAGAACAAACTCCAGGAGCACCAGGAGCACCAAGGAGTGTTCTAATTTGTACCCCGGGTAGGAGAGATATGAAGTATAAACCGAAGAGGACACCTGAGTCTCGGTTAAAAAGAGCAAGGCCGGCTTCGCCGTCTCCGGGTGGTAGTGGTCAGCATTAAGATCGGAATGAAGTGTCTTGATTTTTTATAGGATAGGGTGACAAACGAGCATACAGTCCACCTGATGGTAAGTAGTTGCTGTGGTCCATAGACATCTACATATATCCTCAATTGCGGATCAAAATACAGATGCGTTGTCACCCGTGAGGACTTAGATGGAATGCCTCGTTTCCACTAAAAAGGGTCTCCGGTTCTCTACACTCACCATACGAAACAGCAGCAATAAGCTACTATTTTACGCTGGTATTCTCTGAGAGTGTGGTCCTTCCCCGGTCGAGCCGACCCATTCGTGCTATAACTATGCTACTAACAGTATAACTGCAGCATGACTCTACCACGTAAACAATTAATTTTTTATTAAAATATTCGTTGGTTGCCTAAATGCATAAATATTTTTTGATAGTAAAACTGTTTGTAAGTACTCAACAATTAAAACAGAAACATCAACGATTTCAAAAATTAAATATTTACTTTGACTTCAATTTGATGTAACATAATAACAACTAATTAAAAAAATATGCAGACTACGTATATTTTTATAACTTAAAATTAATTACCTAAATCTTGGACTATTAGAAATAAGATATGCTGGCAACATTCTCCCGTTACGTAATCTCGAAGCATTGACATTCATGCTTCGAATAACCTTCAAAATTGTGTTGGAATAACAAATTAAAATATAGTTAAATGAGTGTTTACAAGTGAAACGATATTGCTTCAGACTTTTTGTTCACTTTAGTATTGTTTTTGAACACATTTAACTACACAGGACGGCATTTTGTAGGCAAATTTACTACACGACGCCCCGGGAAGTACTGAGCGAAAATGATCGTAGTTTGATGCATGTGTGTGCGTAAACGCATGTGCTTACATAAAGGAGCGGAGTTTTTTGGCTTCACCAGTAACAAAGGCCGCGATGTATCTACCTTTTTTTACTTCATCTGAGACACTGAACTAAACTCGCTCGTTTACATGAACGGCGAGTTTAGTTGAGGATG